CGTTTTTGCGCAAAAAGGAGCTGTGCAAAAAACCGTTCTTGCACAAGAGCCGTTCTTCCTCATTTTTTCAGAAAGAAGAACGGCTCTTGTGCAAGAGGGGATTTTTGCACAAAAAGGAGCCGTCTACACAGCTCTGCTTTGCGCAAAAGCCTCTTGCACAAAAACGGACTCTAATTAATTTTGCAAATGAGGTTCAGTGACATTCTACTCCACACTTCGTTTGCATAAGCTGTTGTGGGAGAAGAGTGCCACATCACACAAATGCAGGTGTGGCTTTGCTTAGGAGTATTCATAAAAGCTGGGAACATTTTCACTGGTAATGAGAATTTCAGAATAGTTGGAAAACTTGACAAAAGCCAGTAGAGTTTTGGAAGGGCTCTAAGTCCTCACATCTCAGGAACATTCTACTCCACACTTCGTTTGCATAAGCTGTTGTGGGAGAAGAGTGCCACATCACACAAATGCAGGTGTGGCTTTGCTTAGGAGTATTCATAAAAGCTGGGAACATTTTCACTGGTAATGAGAATTTCAGAATAGTTGGAAAACTTGACAAAAGCCAGTAGAGTTTTGGAAGGGCTCTAAGTCCTCACATCTCAGGATCAGGACTCTAATGGTGAGTAGGAAGAATTTCTCCCTACAGTAGAAGTCGCAAACTACGGGCCAGTTATGGCCAGAGCAATTGTGCACGCCTGGGATTCCTGCTACTGCAGGGAGCACAACTATTGCCATTGCATGGCACAAGGCCCAGCTGATCCCCAAAGCTGTGTGCTCAGGAGGATGAGGTGCCATAGGAAGGAGAGGGCAGGCCGATGAAAAGGGGCAAGTCTTGGGGGCTGGTTACAAACTGCACCCCCAACCCATCAGGAGGCCCAGTCTGGATTGCATAATCGCTCTTGTCAGGACTGGCCTGCAGGCCAGGAGTTTAAGACCCCCTGCCTACCAACTATTTATTCCATTCAAGTTACTTGAACCTTTCTCTGAAGCATCTGATACTGGCCACAGGGCTGATCCAGTATGGCAATTGCTAGATTTTTAGGTTCTTTTGGTCTGGTGTGGCTAAAACTTGGATTATAGCTCTTGGAATAAGAGCACAGGTGGCAGCATGGTTGCTGGTTACAATTTTGGGGTGTGGTCTGAGAAGACAAGACAGGGTAGTTATTGCTGAGATTGTTTTCTTCTGATTTGCGTTAGGGACTGGTGGTGATGTCCTCTGAACTAGAGGAAGTGGTAAACAGCATCTTGACAGGCAGAATTCCAGGAATGTGGATGAATAAATCTTACCCAAGCCTCAAGCCCCTTGGCAGCTATGTGAATGACTTTCTTACCAGATTAAAGTTCTTACAGGTGAGCACATTCTGTTTATGCTAATCTGCATGATTGCTGTTTAACTTTGCTCTCCAAGAGACTAGAAATACATATATATATTTCACAGAGTGAATGTAAAGAGAGGGCCATTCACCATTGCATCTGGTTGCATATTATGCCATTCACCATTGCATTGGATTATTATGTCTGCTCGTCACTGCACATAATAATAAAGCACTCAACTTTATTATGTACTATACACATCTCTTTCAGATAGCTGCTGCATATTAGAACTACTGTGAGACATGGGCAGTTTTGGTGCTCACAGTGGACGCTCTAAAGGCCTCAAAGTAGTGAGTGCCAGTAACAGTTGGTAGTTGAGATGTTCAGTGGAGTTTGATGCAGTTAAAGCTTAGTTATCTGGCAATGTGAATAGGAAAACTTTCACTGGCATTACCCCCAGCCACAGTACTGCTATGTCAAGCACACGTGCCTGACTCCCGCCTGTTCAGCTGGCCATTACAGGGCTTCTGACAATCAGTAATGCTGGCTGACATCATCAACGGGCACCTCCTTCCTCCTGTGCCTGCTTTGAGCTGCTGGGAGCCAGCTGCTGGTAGGGGCAGAGCAATAAGCTTTGCTGTCTGCACATTCAGTTAACTGGCAACCTGCATTCCCCGTGAGTGCTGGATAACAAAGCTTTCAATGTAAATAACAGTATTACATTTATTAAACTATAAGAATCCAAAACAGTGTTGATGGGCCTTTCCATTGGATTGTTGAAGTTGGGAAGTCATTTGAAAGCTCACTAACACCCAACAAGCCAAATACTATACTTACAGTACAATGCTTGGGAATTTAATGGCTGAGGGGAGTGGTCACAAACCATGGATTCTTCTCCCTGCGAGAGCTAATTCGCATAAAGTCTGATTTCACACTGACTCAATTGTTACCAGGTTGTTAGGATTATGTGAACTCAGTGAACTGATGCTCATATTAAAATCCACTTGAGGAACAGGACTGGGTTTTTTCCCAGTAGCCAGTGACATTTTGGAAAACTTCATAGATAAATCAGTGTTTTTGTTTTGCAAAAAGACAATCTTTGTGATACGACTTTTAATACTGTTCTAAATTATTTTTTCCCCTCATAATGATTTCAAGATAGTTTGTTGTCTTGTTCTCTTTTTTCTGCTATAGCTGTGGTATGAAAATGGAACACCGCCAGTCTTTTGGCTTTCAGGATTTTTCTTCACTCAAGCTTTCTTAACTGGTGCCCAGCAGAACTATGCCAGAAAATACACCATACCAATTGACCTACTAGGGTTTGATTATGAAGTACTGGAAGACAAGGAATACAAAAATGCTCCTGAAGATGGTAAACAAACAAGCTTTATTAGCCACCTGCATTGATGTACATGTAGGAAATGTAATTCAGGAGTTACAGGTAGATACATTCCTGTCATTAACAGGTTTTTAAGCACTTAACTTAATGTGCAGAATCCTGGAAAATATAGGCCACAATGTGATTCACTAATGTCACTAAAGGAGGTTTGCACATTAAAGGCAACATTCAACAAAATATCTTTTGAATAATTCTAGTAGAACACCACAAATTAAGTATCAGCAAGACCATTTAGGTTATTCAGTATCTGGCCAGTAGACCTTCAGCAGCAGGATTATTCCATATATATTGTATTAACTGGGCACAGATCTTCAATGGAGCTATGACAATTTACATCAGCTGAGGATCTACCTGGGTGCTTTATCCAGGATCCTTGCATTATGAAACTTTTCCACCATCTAACAGATATCAATTGATTACTTAGCCTGAATTTTCCTTTTCTTCATTTCCTCCTGTTACTTTAATTCTATGTCCAGGTACTTAGAACATTTCAGTAACCAACTGAAAGCAAAATACTGCATGGGACTGTATTGTGCTAGTTAGCACCAAGAAAGTACACAGATTAATAATAGGGAACTTCAGGGGTGAAATGAGAAGGTTCCATTAAATTTATCAAAAGATACTATTGTATACAGACTACGGATGTGCCAATTGCAGTCCCTTCCCCCTGTGTCTTCTTATCGTCATTCAAGTCAATCAGCTGTCCTCCAGTGGAATGGATTAAACTGAGCATAATTCGGACTACCTTTTTAAACAGGAGAATTACCAAACTACTTTGCACTTTTGCCACAGTCTCTGACACTCCCTCCTTGCTCCTTGTAATCACTGATTACAAGAAAGGAAGCATAAAAGTCAGCCCGTTACTATAAGGGACTCCGACATGGCAATGCTATCCCTGTTAGAAGGCATGGGCAGTCACCGCTCCTGTTGTACCACCTGGGAGGAGGTACTATGCCAAAAAACTGGCACACGGATTTCAGTATTATTCAGTTGCACCACAGCCTCATGCGTGATCTAAACAGCATATGATAAAAAGCTGACCTCATTTCACACAGGACCTCTTGTATATTTAGTTTCTGTGCCCAAACGTAACTTTTTATACCTTTCTGCTTAATTCAGGGGTCTACATTCGAGGATTGTTCCTGGATGGAGCTCGCTGGAACAGAAAAACTAAGAAGCTAGCAGAGTCATATCCAAAAATCCTTTATGACACAGTACCTGTGGTCAGTATTTGTCATATGATTAGATTAGTCTAAATCTATCGTCAGAAGCTAAGCCTGTCATGGTAATGTTTGTTAGTACAAAAAAAACTTTTTTTTTTTCCTCCTTTAAAAGTAAAAACTTTTGCCATCAGAGATGCCTTACTCACGATTTCCCACATGGCTCTGTGGCAACCAAAGTGAAGTAGCAACTTGTACTTTTTAAAACATATATCGAACCAAAAATATTTTGAGCAGCAGAACAGACAATTTGTGTGCAACAGAGGCACGGAGCATCAAAAGTTCATAGTGAAGTCAACCAAGACTTTTTCCGCAGGGGGTGGGGATTCAGCACTTTTCAGAATTATGCACAAGTTATTGGTGAACTACAGTGAGTTTAGAAAGTATTTAGTGAGTTGTGACCAAATTTAATTCTTACCAACTTTACCAAGAAAGGTAAATGGTTTATTCTATATTTTATCATAGATGTGGTTAAAACCTTGCAAGAGATCAGACATTGTGCTACGACCAAGTTATCTTGCTCCAGTGTACAAGACCAGTGAGAGAAGAGGAACCCTCTCCACTACGGGACATTCCACCAATTTTGTAATTGCAATGATGCTTCCTTCAGATAAACCAGAGCAACACTGGATTGGACGGGGAGTGGCACTATTATGCCAGCTTAATTCCTAAACTTTGCATGTTAATGGTTGTTTTTGAGATGAATCATTTGTGTAAGACGCATTTCAATTTTTAAATACTACTGGTTAGTGAAATCAAAATATTTAAACAGATCCATTACACTTCTGCCTTTCATGGGAGTTAAAACAAATACTAAAATATAAAAGTCATGTAATAAAACTTTGTAAAAAACAACCAATATGTTTGCTCCTTGAATAATTTTATTTTTGAAGCTCCTTATAAATAAGGAACATACATAAAATGAACACAACACTGCTGACAATGAACAAAACAGCTTTTGATCATTCCCAGCTTTATAAAAGTGTTTTAAATGACTTAGTTATAACAAAAAAAGATTTATAGCTCAGAAAGTATCTCATAGGACCTTAATCACATTTTTAAACTATAAACTGTAATGGAAAAAAATTCACACTGCATCTACCTTCTACAGTATTTTCTAAGCATAATCACTGCTGATTGACTGCAATGTGATCTACATGAAAATTCATATGGGATGTCACACAGTGACAGAATTGTAATATGCAAGTAACACTGATGCCCTCCAAAGAATACGTTAAATTAGACTGCATACAAGCAGAATGGAATGTTGAAGCCAAGTATGAGTAGACTGGAATTCAGATTGTCTGTAACTTGACATAAAACTACACTGAATGGATCTGAAATTAAACACTGGTGGAAACCTTTAGAAGAAGCCACAGCTGTTATATTGCTCTTCACAATCATAATAAATAGTAACATATAAAGAAACTAATTCCAATCTAGTTGAAAATGTTATAACATTTGGTACAACATTACCATGTTTTTCCATTTGGGAAAAAAAGTCTTCAGTAAAACTAACTGAAAATTGCTCCCCCCTCTTCTCCAGTAGATAGGTAGTATAATTACAATATAGCACATTCCAGCTAATAGAAAAGTAAATATGCTTCCTGAAATACAGAAATCTTCATTTGAAAAGAATTAAGAAGGGTGATTTTTTGACAAATTTCAATTCTGAGAGTTAAAAGCTCATTTAAATTTTGCAGCACTAAAACTACAGAAGAATCAACGACTGAAGTTTTCAAAAGCACCTGAGTATCTTCGGCTTCTAAGTCCAATTTTCAAGCAAGCTTTAGCATATATGTACACTAGAAATGCTACACGGACAACTGCACTACTGCAGCCACACCTCACTAGCACTATAGTGTAGCTGCTACAGCAATAGAAGGGGGTTTTCTGTTGCTGTAGTTCATCTGTCCCAGTGGCTAGGTCACCAACAGAATTTTTCTGTCAATCTAGCAACCTCTGCATGGGTGCGTAGGTTGGTCTAGCTATGTCTCTTATGCCACATCCCTAAGCAATGTTACTAAGTCGATCTAAGCTTTAAGTATAGATCAGGCCTTGGGAGGATAAGTAGCACTGAGTTTCAATGAGACAAAGGTCTGGATACTCAAAGGAATTTGGGTTCCTAACTCCTATTGAAATCAATGGTAGCTAGGCCTCAATATCTTTGAGGATCTGGGCATACATGTCAAATTCACTTTTGAAAATGGCACTACATTGACCTAGCTCTGCTGCTCAAGGGTGTGAAATATTAACATCCTGATAGAGTTAAACTGAACTAACCACCAGTGTACACACGCTAAATTGATGTAAGAATTGTGCCAGTGACCTAATCACGGTCTCTTGATTTGCCAGTGACAGAAAGACTAATCACTGCAGCAAGTATCTACACAAGAGCAGGGCAGCTGGGCCACTGTAGTGTAGACATACCTTTATACTCCAAAGTCATATCATTGCTCTTGAAACCGTTACCTAGCATATCCTACTCTTAAGCATTCAATGAGATGATGTCTGTTCTAATTAGGGTCTGATCTTCTAGTCGTTTTATGTGCAAAATTCCAAATGACTTCACTGCACAAAGGACTGCAGGACGGGACCCTTGATTTTGACTTCTTCACTGACACCTTTTACAAAATGGACACTTAATACTGTACATGCAAGTTTCTTGATACTGTATTAGGAACAAATACTGGCAGGAGCCAACGTATACCTTTAAAGGGGACGGGAGTGGCCAAGAAAAAGGAACGACTATATCGCTAAACTGAAGGATCAAAAGTAAAGATGAACAGGAACAGAGATTATTGAGATTAATCATTCATTAAGAATGAAGACACTGACTGGCTTGTTAAGATGTTAAACCAGTGCAATTTTTGATGCTAAGCAAACAAAACTTGACAGTGCACAGCAAAACAGAGCTTACCTGGCATACATAAAAATGAAAATTAGAACAGCAAGTTAAAAGAAGACCACCACCATACTTAGGACTGATTCTAGATTATCAAGTCAGACTGCAGAATTAACATGGCTTGTACATCGCACAAATTCACAATTTTAATAGGACAGCAGAATAGAAAAAAACTAATTCACACCTGGCAATACAAGCATTTTGGCATTAAACAAAGAAACTGATTCTAGCAGGTTAAGAATTTTTATGGTTCACCACATCTTCCCAACTCACTGGTATAGGTAATTTAATGACAGATGCTTTATATAGCCTAGATATCCAAGATATAACAAATGTTTAAAAAATTAACTCTTTACTGCTGTAAGTGGGAATCTTTCAGCACACAGTCTATTGCCTGCAATGGCTGGCGCTATCAGCTCTGATGCCAAGGCATTGAAGTAATACATTCAGATTTGAAATGATACACTAGTACTAATATACAGAGTATTTTTAATAATCTTTGTATCTGGGTTCAATACATTGGCTTTCAGAAGATATTACTGTAAAAAAGGAGAAAAATTTTGAATTCCAAGATAAATTGAACTGTTAAAACTGAGAAATTCCATTATGGACCCTTTGCTAGAGGTGCATTTGCATAAACTCACAGCCACAATTTATCAGTAGTTTAGGTTGTAAGTTGCACCCAACGTTTAACATGTTTAGCTTCTGAAGCAAACAAGCAGGAATACCATTAACTCTCTGACAACAAGGATTTCTCCCAAGTTAATACTAACTCTACTTCATTTTCCTACCGATACCAAGGAGCTAACATCAAATAAATCTTAGGAAAACTGATCCTCAATGGAGTATCTCTCTTTGCAGCAGATTACACAGACTGCCTCCTTAAACATGACTTTAGAACCATGAAATGCAGTTTAATGCGTACCCAGCATGTTTTAAAGAGATTTTTTTTTTTAGTCCAAAAAAGCACAGTTTTTTCCAGTCAGGTGCTATGTTAGTATATTTAATTGTCTGAGGGTAACATCCACCACTGTGCAGAGGACCAGCTTGCCATCTAAGCCTTACGGAGGAAGTGACATCCCCCACGGCAGAGAGATGGATTTCACCTTTAAAGTTGTGGATTTTGTTCAACTGTAATGTGAAAAGATATTTCCAGAACAGACTAGGTCTTTCGCTGCATGCTGATTTGTAAACAATTGCACAATGCTTAATGTGCAGCACACACAACTTGGTGTTTTCATATTTAAATTCTGCTTCTTGAATTTGGAAGGTACACTATGTGCACCATTTTAGTTAGCAAGCAGCAAAAGTTAATCTATGCAGAAACAAATAGACTGTAGTTGTGTAAGTAGTGCAAGCCACTGCCATTTCTCTGAGCAATGTGCATACAGTACAACAATGCAGACTCAAAGCCATACAGTAACATCGTAACCACAGCAATTTCTGGAAATGGTCAAAACTGGATGTCAAACACAATTTTATCTTCATACAGTGCAATCACCAGCATCATAGCAAATCCAAGGAGCAAGCCTAAATTCTGGAGAATGAATTGCCCAACTGGACAATATCCATGTTCTTCATTATCGCCATCTCCATGCAGCATTTCTGGAAGCTGAAAAAAAAAAAAAAAACATTTTACAAATATTGTGACGGAAGTGAAATAACTGTCTAGTTCACAGCAAGATACTAATAGCAGCAATACTGAGATTCAGTTAGAAAAAATTATCACCAACCCACTGTATAATTTTCCCAAAGAAATGAGGCTCTAGCACACTCCTTTGGGCATTCTAATGTGATTGTTTGGCCACCATGTTGCTTGCTTGTTTTGAATATCTACACAAACTCAAACGTGGCAAGCTGGGACATACGTGCAGCACGCTGCACACTAATAGTCCACGTAGAGCTACTGATGTGCACTAATTTTCCCTAGTGTGCATTAGTGTAATACATTTGTAAATACCCCGGCTTGCTGCACCATAAGAATTTGTGTAAACATGCCCTTAACATGGGAACCATGCTGCTCCAGTAAAGGCTATAAATACACATTCCTGATATTGAACATTTATAATGGATGAGCTAATTAAATAACATTTCTGTGACACTGTAAACTGTTACTCAATTTTAACAGCCATATACGACTAATTACCATTCCTATTACATATATTTATCTATACCCCATAAGTATTATAGTCATAGGAAACAATATATAAATGTGTCAATTCGAGAGAAATTCCACGTAAGCAAGTCAAATACATGGATATTTTTGACTTGCCTGGTTAGAAATTAGGGTTGTGAATGTTTAACCGGTTAACTGGTAAGCCTCATCCTTAATGGTGAGGGGGTGCCCGCTGATCCAGAACAGCCTTTGTCCACAGTGGGCCCCCTATAGGCAGGGGCTGTTCTGGTCTCTGTCTGAAGTGGGCCCGGGTGCCCTGCCTGTAGAGGCGGGTTGGGGGAGGGTGTAGCTCCAGCTATGCTGGAGCTATACCCTTCCCCCAGCCTGCCTTCCCTTTAATAGGTTAGCTGGTTAACCAATTAAACAGGATTCTTGGAAGGGAAGACAGTATCACATAGTCCTCTCCTCACCCCTCACATAGAGCCCTCTCCCCACCATGAAGCTCGGCACTGATACAGCCAGTACTGATAAAAATAAATGAGAAATCTAGAGGAGACAATGGCAATGATACTGATGAAGCCGTCTCTGATAAAACAATACTGCAGCATTGATGAAGGGGACTGCAATGAGCTGGTCCTTATGTCACTACCAACATATGGGTACCAGAGTCTTTTGGGTGCCATGGGAAATCACATTCATACTCAGGCACTTGCAACCCTGAGAGTGAAGGGATTTGGACAAATGGGAACCCAAACGGGGCACTGCAGAAGCTTATAGGTTTCCCTATGAACGTACTATACTTTTCAAGAGACAGCAAAGTACAAATGGCTGTCTAGACATCTGCCTGTAAATGGTTTGTTTTCTTTTTTGCAATAGAAAAAAAAAGTTATAATGTTGGGTTATTTGAAGTCACAGATTTCACAGATGCAGAATAGGGAAATATAAAATGATAATCTTACCATATCTACCAATGCAACATAAAGGAACATGCCAGCGGTGACCGCAAAGATCCATAAAGTGATGTTATTGGCATATTGTCCAACAGCTGTGCCTATTAGCATCCCTACGTAAGCCATCATAGCAGACAGGACGTTGTACACAATGGCTTGCTTTACTGTCATACCAGCTTTAAGCAGCACAGCAAAATCACCTGAAATTGAGACAGAATAATGAAAGTTTTTAATTGTCATAATCCCATAAGAGACAATAGATGCATTGCCCTCAGTTGTATTACTTAACTTATTTAAGTATCAGAGGAGTAGCCGTGTTAGTCTGAATCTGCAAGAACAATGAGAAGTCCTGTGGCACCTTATAGACTAACAGATTTATTAGAGCATAAGCTTTTATGGGCAAAGACCTGCTTCATCAGACGCATAGAGTGGAAATTCCAGAGGCAGGTATAAATATACAGGCATAAGAAAAGAGTTCCAATCAAGAGTAAGGCTAGAAATAACGAGGTCAATTCAGTCAGAGAGGATGAGGCCCACTTCTAGCAGCTGATGTGGAGGTGTGAACACCAAGAGAGGAGAAACTGCTTTTGTAGTTGGCTAGCCAATCAGTCTGGCTGTGTTTAGACTGGCTAGTTTTTCCAGAAAATAAGCTGCTTTCCCAGAAAAACTTGCCAGCTGTCTACACTGGCCACATGAACTTCCGCAAAAGCACTGACGATCTCATGTAAGATTGTCAGTGTTCTTGCGGAAATACTATGCTGCTCTCATTCGGGCAAAAGTCCTTTTGCGCAAAAGGGCCAGTGTAGACAGCTCAGATTTGTTTTCCGCAAAAAAGCCCCGATGGTGAAAATGGCGATCAAGGCTTTTTTGCAGAAAAGCGCGTCTAGATTGGCACGGACGCTTTTCCGCAAAAAGTGCTTTTGCGGAAAAGTGTCCGTGCCAATCTAGACACTCTTTTCGGAAAA